GTAGTGTTGTAGGACTATATCCAAGAAAAGTAATCAGAAAGCTGGATTCGGGGGAACTTCATGAAAATCATTAAGGAGATTTGACTCCTTTACTAATGGCACAAAAGTCAGAATGCTACTAAGTGTCCTGTGTGAACACATCAGCCTAAGTCCCTGGCCAAGTATGAAGACAGACTAGTGCACCACACCACCTACAGCCAGGAACATCCATAGTGGATTGCATTGTGGGTGAGAAATAAATGTTCAATTTGTTAAAATTCTAGGACTTCAGAGTGGTTCACAGGGCAAGAAGAAATTTGTTGTCCACATACAATAAAGAGGATCCCCATTGGTAAAGTGCAAACCATTCATTCAGCTTTCAAAATGTAATGACTGTTTCTTAAAAGTCCACTTGTTAAGCCCTATTGTGGTTATAATAAATGAGATGGTGTTGTGGCTTGGGTCTAGATATCCCTGCAAAGTGTCATGCTTTTAGGTGGGGCATTTTCTGAGGTGGCTGAATCTAGAGTGTGTGATTGATTCATGATGCAATTCTAGGCTCAAGGGCACTAGGATTAAGGATGTGAGCACTACTCATCTGAAGTATCTAGATAAGATAAAAAGGGGCAGAAAGGTGCTATTAATGTCTCTCATTGCTTTGCTGCTGTCTGTCTGCCATGAACTGTTGGCCCTCTAACACCCTGCCTTAGAGCCAGCCATTTGATTTTGTACTGAAACCTCTGTGAACTGTAAGTCAAATAAACCGTTCCCCCTCTTAACTTTGGGTGCCCGGTATTTTGTCTCAACAACAAAAGTAACTAAGACAGATGGTGTCTGGATTCTAGATATATGAAGGCATTTGATGAACAGAGGGGCATGTTTAAAAGGAAAAAGTAAGTTAAACAGTAAAATAACTTTGTAAATATATTAAAATCTTGGGACTTCAGTTTGGCATTTTGTCTCCTCTTAGATATTCTTTCTTCATGATCAGTACCAGGTTCAATTCTTTTTTGTTTTGTTTTGTTTTTTGAGATAGGCTCTTGCTATGTAGTTCAGTCTGGCCTTAAACTATCTATGTAGCCCAGGCTGGCCTCAGCCTCCCAAGTATTGGGATCACAGGTGTGCACCACCACAGCTGACTTCCAGGTTCAATTCTGAGTAAAATCACTTTAATGGCTAAATTGTGAAGTGAAGAAGTAGGCAGTTAGAAACTGTCAACAGTTTAATATACTTTAAGGAAATGTTTCAAGTTTGACTGTACCAAAGAAGAACAAAAATTAAGCATGTTATAAGATTATATGGTTATATACAAATAATGGCTATTTCTAAATTAAAGTTTTCTCTAATGGTCGGGGAGGATAATTATCAAAGCTTTGGTTTAGTAGAAACGTTGAATTTTAAAGTTCTTCCAAAAATTGAAATAAACCATAAAAGATCTTTAAGATAGCATTGCTATGAAATAGTAGAAATAATTCATCATTTATTAATTACCAGCCATTTGCATATCAATTATATAAAATTTTAAATGTATTTGAGTCCATAATTTGAAAAATAAAAATCTAGCTTTTCCATATAAGTTTCTTGGTGGTGTATTAATATTCAATTTTGTCAACTACACCACCTATAACTATAAAAATGGTTATGAAAAGAAAAGGTTTAAGTGCTACAACACTAAACTATGTGTTATCACAATGCCTTTAATTACGTGGAATATTAATATATTTTTCTCAATAGGTTGCTTTAGTTTTAGAAGGTGCTTATACTACAGGTTGAAGTGTTGATTGAATAAAGAGTTGCCTTTTTTAGTGTCTAATAATAGGTAGTGTAAACAGAGAAGTCAATTGAGGTTGGCATGTAGGGGGAGTAGGGCTGGAGTTTATGCTATTATCTGCAGAAACAAATTGTACAGGCAAAAGCAATCAGCATACATCAATTTAGCCTGTGGAGTTCAGTCATAAAATACTGTGCTACATTCCACCTCCATTTATACTTGCCCTACAGGTTATTATTTATTATTGAACATTATTACAAATTTTTAAGGGAAAATAGTGTAATTCATTTGAAGTAATACCACACTATTGTGCATGTGGTATGCTCAAATTCTTGCAATTACTATTCTAACTTATAGGGTAATGAGATGTTATTCAAGAATTACTTTCTGTGGTTCCAACTTCAATACATTCATTTCTTTTGTTAACATATTACTCCTATTTATAGTCCAGAAGAAAAATAGTTTTTAATTTAGTGAACTCTGTGAATTATTATCTCTGAATAATTTGTCTGTCCTTGATAAAATGAACTAAGCAAAGTATTTAACTTGATAGAACACATAAAAAGCCCTGAACTATTTCAGGCTATTAAGTGTTGAGGATATTTTCATTTTAATCTCTTTTCTGTAGTTATAGCACATTAGACATCTTAACATATTTATTTCCAGGTCATAAAGCTATTGCAAGAATGATGTCTTCATACTTTCTTTGTAATCCAAATATATTAACTGTGTATAATGGTTTATTATTAGCATTAACATATTCAGTATTATTTATCTAAAGATTTGTTAAAAATAGAGCCTGGAATAAACAATTTACTAAGAATTTATTAAGAATTGTCTGAATATTTTACATTAAACTAAGTGCTTTGTAATATCCAAATTAGATATAATGGTTGGTTTCTTACAATAAGGAAGACAAAAGTGATGCATAAAATATAACTAGAGAAAGAAGACAACAAAGTACTAACTCACACAGTAATAGAATACAATAAAAATTGAGAGAACTGGAGATCAGAGCAGTCTTTAGTATTCAGGAGAAAATTTTATTAAGCAGTTGAAATTTGACTTGAGGTAACAGTATGAATATTTTTTGGATAATTAAAGAAGAAAAACCATTTTCACTAGTAGAAGAACGAGAAAATCCGGGTAGGAGGTGAGAGTAGCTTCATATACTATGGAATCAAACAGTAGATGAAACATGGTTTCTTTGTGAGGAAGTAAATTGATTAAAGTGGGGAAGAGGGTTTTAAGTGCTATGATGTGTGTGTGTGTGTGTGTGTGTGTGTGCGTGTGTGCGCGTGCGCGGCCCTCTTGTCTTTCTGTATCTATGTATATCTGGATCTATCTCCCAATTTTTAAATTGTTGAAACCCTTGTTCAGTGATGGAAATTCCTTTTTGAACTGGAATTCTTTTGTTGGTAATGTAGAGAATCACTTCGGGTTAATGTTGAATTCAATGTATTTTCTATCCAAGCCCCTCCACCCACAAGCTACTATTCTTAATCACTTAAATAATTTATTTGAGAATGATTTTTCTCTATGCTTAAATCAACTAGTTTTGATCCGTGGAAAAATGTTACCATTAATTATTATATTTTAGACATGGGTCTATGTATATCATTTTTTCTTACAATTCTTTACAATAATACCTGGAATCAGATGCTTTTTATCATTTAATATTAGGGATTAGAAACATTAAGAATGAATGATCAAGCAAATTCAGAAATTTTTAATTCCAAAATCTGTGTTTCTAGAATCAAGCTGCCACATGAAGTTAGTTGTCAGTGGTTAGGTCTATTAGATATATTCAGCTTTCCCTTTTTACTCTTCTAATTTTAATATGTTTCTCAAAAATATTAAGAAAGCTTCCGAGTCTCGACATTTTTCAGCAGCAAGTCACTTACAAAGACCCCTAGAAGTGCTACTCTAGCAGATGTGAGGCTGTCATGAAACTTGCCTGCTATTTGGTAGTACTTTTTGAAAGATAAGCTATATGTAAACTCAGACAGTTCATAGATTTTAGTTTGCATATCTAGTTTGAGGAACTATGAAAAAATTATGGATATGTTTAGAACTCCATTTGTACACAATGCTTCATCAGGATTCTGAGGAAAAGTGTGCAAGGGAATATAAATGCAATTGCTGCCACATCCATGTAAAATTTCAATTTAGAAATCGCTATGAGGTCACTGATGGCTCTATGTGGAAGATGAATATTTTCAAGGATAGGAAATCTAACTATGAGATAAAATAACATCAGTGAGCAAAGATACAATTTATTCAAGGTAAAAAAAATAGATTGGTTCATTCTGTGCATCCAAGTGGATTAATAAAATCTCATTGCAGAATTAGGGGACAATATGCTGTTTCTTTTGCTTTTGAAACTGGTCCTTGAGAGATATGGGAGGGAAAGAGGCATAACAACCTCCAAGATACTGTAAGAATAGCTTATCTTAAAATACTAGTTATGACAATACAAGTTATTATTGGATCCAATTCTCATGGAAGAAGAAAGAAATCTATAGGAATCACCACCACTTGATACAGCTACCAGAATTGTTGAGGCCTTTGTGAGATGACAATATACCATTGGAGAAATTAGTGATGATTGTCATAAGCTATTGAGTTGAATTCCTTTGTAGAAAAGATTTCTATCCAAAAGAAGAAGATAAGAATCCTTAGGATAAAAATTCAAGTGACAAATAGATAGACAGTTGCTAGAAACTTTATAAAGACTCTGAATTTGGTTTCTTTTCAAATCAGTGGCTCTTCTGTCCTTTTCTTTCAAAATGTTATTGGCCAAAAAGAACTGCAACTTCCAAAGCCACTTTTTTCTTCTTTCTGTATAGAATTTGCTCTTAGTCTCTTGCAATTATCATTTTTGTTTTAATAACCTCTCACTGTTTACATTCTAAGGTGAGAGCTAATATGTACATACTGACCAAAAGGAAAAAAAGACTGAGCCACTCATTGTGAGAGCCGAAGGATGGATATCTAGATGGTACCAGGGATGGCAGCCAGGTTAGATAAACTGGATAACCTGTCCCTTCAGGATGTTGGTGGGCATTGGGTATTCAGGAATATCAGGATAACTTTCATTGGAAAGACTGTATTCTTTTCATAGATTATTAAGACACATTTGAGCACTTACAAAAATCCACATCATGTAAATGAGCTATTGCTTGGTCACTTTCTTATTATTTGCAATCTTTATTAATAGATATTAAATATTAAAATTAATTGGATTCAAAATGATATTTCCATAAATGCATATGGTATACACTATTCTTACACACACACACTCTTCCCAATCTCACTAAACACTATTCTATGTTCAGTTGAACTTTTATTTAGCTTCCACATAGACAGAGAATTTGCCTTTTTGTGGCTGGCCTATTTCACTTAACAAGATGTCCTCCAAATGCATGCATTTTGCCTCAAATGACAGGATGTTATTCTTCTTTGTGGCTGACTTTCAATCAAATTGTCACTGCTATAGTTTGAATCTTAAATGTCCCCTGAATGTCCATGTGTTTTCATCCGGGGTTAGCACACTGGGAGGTGGTGATGCCTTTAGATGAGGCCTTGTTGGAGAGTCTTAGTTCACTGGGTATGTGCCGTTAAGGGAGTTTTGGGACTCTGGCCTCTTCCTTGTTTCTCTTTTGTTCTCTTCCTCACCATGAGAGGAGCAGTTTTGTTTCACTCTGTGTTCCTGGCACCATGTGCTACCTCGTCACAGATCCAAAGCAGCGGGACCAACCGATCAGGAGCTGGAATCTCCAAAGCTGTGAGGCAAAATAAACTTTCTCTTTATAAATTAATTATATTAGATATTTTGTTATATTAACAGAAAGCTTACTAAAACAGTCACCAGAAAGAAATAATAAAATGAGGATGAACTATATCAGCAACCAAAACCAGTTTCCACATATAAGAAAATCACATACTTTTAAGATTGCAGTGGTAGATTAACAACATAGACATGATGAAATAAATCATAACATTATTTGTGACAGATTATTAATCAATGCAAATCATCTAGTATAATAAATTCACATATATTAACAAGGTAATCAATAGGATGACAGATACTGCAACATGTCTACAACATCCACTCAGTAATTTATAGATTCGAAAACATTTGCTAAGCTCCTACCTATTAACTTTTATATAGCCAAGTTACCAATCATCTTGACCATGAGATTGGTTTGTTAAAGCATGCAGCATATAATCAAGCTGCTTTATTGGCTCAAATATAAATCAAAAAGGGCTAAGGCCTTCTTTACTTAATGAAAAATGACAATTTATTCAGCAAGTCTACTGTAAAAAGCCCATGTCTATGTTTATTTTTTAATTAAAAATTGTATTAGTGTATCTTTGCAATACAAAATAAATATGTACATCATGGCCTGTTGTTCCATATACATGTCACATCTTGATCCCTTTTACTGGCCCTTTCCTGGCTCTCCCTCTTTCCTATCTCCCCACATCCTTTGTATTTATAACATAGCAGGAACCCCAAAATCTGTGGCCTTTTATTAACAAATATCACTGAAATGAAAACAGTAACTGTGCTAGTGATAGTGTGATTGCTTTTTCAGTAGTATTTAAAGACTATATTAGTGTCAAGTCTTAAGAAGTGAGAAAGAAGTACAATCAAAGATAAGAAACCCCAAATTTGGGGATTTTTTTTGTGCTTTGTCTATGGGAATTGAGATTATTTTGTTTTGAATTTTTTTATTTAACTAATTCTCCAATTCAAGATAGAAAACATTGCTTACCCCCTCTTAGACTTATTTATTGCTATGTTTAATTTTAGTTCATTGACTAACTTCATTTTCACTCTGTATTCCGAAAATAATGCCTGTGATTTTATGTTCAAATACTATTTCTACCATAAACATCACTGGGCATTTGAAAGCTTGATCAAGTTCTCTGAGTCTATCCATCCTTAAGCTTTTGTTTTTAAAGCTTTAATCTTTACATTCATGTCATGTCTTTGACATTCATAGCAGCTGCAACAGAATAAGTTTAAAATAAAACAAGTGATACTTTTTTTTTGTATTAAATTCTTTTATTGGCACATTGTAGGTATACAACACAATTACATTTCTCACTGGGAATTGTACCTTTACATAATGCATCTTGGTTCTTATTTTTTTCCCCATTCCTAGCCCTCCCTTCACGCCCTCCACCCTTCCCTATTCACAAAGACTTTATTTCCATTTTTTCCATTTCTCATCATTTTTCCTTTCCCTTCTTTCCTTTCCCCTGCCCCTCCCACTACCCCTACCCCTTTGGACCTTTTCTTCTTATTTTACATTATCGATTATACATTCTAATCATTGGTACATTTTAGATATACAATATAATAACATTCATCATTGGAAATTTGCACCTTTACATAGTCTCTCTTGGTTCTTCTTTTTCAGCCTTGCCCAGCCCTCCCTTCAACCCCTCCATTCCTCCCTATTTACAAAGATTTTATTCCTATTTTTCCATTTAGAATCCCTGTTCTTGATAGCTGATCACCCTCCATATCTGACCAAGCTCCCAATTTTTCCACTATCCTTCAGGTGAGCAGAGGATGTGTGATCACCCTGGCCTATCTTCAGCCCCATTAGTTAGGTTAGTTCAGCCAGAATCTTCCTTAGTGCTGATGTTTCCTCTTAGGATTTTTCTATCCACTGGCTTCCACCCTACTTCTTGATTATAAATTCCCACTTGCTCATGTTGAACGATTCCTCTGCCTCACTTTGAGGCCCTGTTGCAGCAGTCTCTAAATCTATTGCAATGGTTCTAAATAAAGTTTACTTTACTGTGTGCTGCAATGAATGTCATTAGATCATTTTTATTTAACATGCATTTGTTGTTATATGTTGACTTTTTAATGCAAATATATGGCTGATTTTTTTACTACAAATTTGAATTTGTAGGTTTTTCCTGGAGGTTATGTGTAAAAAACAAGTTTCCTGGTTATATAAAAAGATCTTTGGTTTGAAAGTATTTCTAAAATTCCCAGATATATTAAAACATTTATTTTTGTCATTGATGTTATTTACATTTTAAAGATTATGCATTTCCTGGCATTTTGGTTATATTACCTGACAGTAAAAAATTACAAAATAGATAAGATATAAGGGAAATACATTGCATAAATTCTAATTGAAATGTAAGAAAGAGTCTCCATGAAGTAAAAGAAAGGGAGCAGTAGAACAATATAAATTCTATTTATTGTTCTGTCACATTTTTAAGGTAGAGTAGTAACTACTTAAAGAAATCTTTGTGTTCGCAGATCTTGAAATTATTAAAAATGAAAGAGTAAAACCTTATTATTTTGTTGTAAATTGTGTGCTAGCCAAACTCTTATGATGAAGTCAAAGTTCATCCTGATGGGATCTTCTCAGAGATAGTTAAGTTAAAATGAGATCATTCAGATGGACCCTGATCAAGTAAGACTGGTCTTGTTTTAAAAAAGAAAAAAATTGAAGATGGAATCCTATACAGGAAGAAAGCCATACCAACATAAAGATGGCCATCCCCAAGTCAAGGAGAGAAGCCTGGTACAGGTTCTTCCATTACAGCCTCAGAAGGAACCCACCCTGCCAGTCCTTTGATGTTGGACTTCTCAATTCCAGAACTCTAAATGTTTGTTTTATAAACCATCGTGCTTGAGGTAGTTTGTTAGAGCAGCCATAGTAAATGAATTTATCTGTATTATATGTTGTTTTATTATTTGATTTCATTTATTTTTCATTAATCAATGCATGTTTGTAAATAGTTACATTCATTTACCATATCTCGTTTCCTATCATATCTCATTTATTTTACTCTAGTTATTTTAAACTTTGAGTCTCCCACAGAAAAGAAACCATATAATATTTAACTTTCTATGTCATATTTCATTTAACATTATGGACTCAGAATTCATCCATTTTCTTGCAAATAACACGATTTCATTATTTTTATGGCTGAACAATAATATCCTCTTTTTTTAATCCACTCATCTGTTGACAGTCATTTAGGCTGTTTCCACAGCTTAGCCATTATGAATGACACTAATATAAATATGAGTATGCATATTTTTAACAGTTTTTAACTCTTTTGGTAATGTAAACAGGAGAAGTATTATTAGGTCAAATAGAATTTCTATTTTTAGTTTTTTGATGAACCTGTATATTGATTTCCATATTGGTTTTACTAGTTTGTGTTCCCACCAACAACATAAAAAGGTTTCTTTTGCGCTACATCCTGGCCAGTATTTGTCATTTTTGTATACTTGGGGATAACTACTCTGACTAGGATGAGTTGGATCTCAGAGTTGTTTTGATTTGCAATTCCCTAATGGCTAAAGATGCTGAAAAAATTTCCATGTACTTGTTGGCCAGTTGTACTCTTCTCTTGAGAACTCTATTCAGTTCATTTGCTCATTTTTATTAGGTTATTTGATTTGGGAGGTAATTTTTTTGAGTTCTTTATGCAGTCTATACATTAGTCCTCTATAGAAGAGTAGTTGGCAATTGTTTTTCCCCATTCTGAAGGTTGTTTTTTCACTCTGTTGATTGTTTCCTTTGATATGCAGGATTTTTAAAAAATTTGATGTGATCTCATTGGCTGATTCTTCATATTATTTATTGTACTACTAGAATCTACTCAGCCATTCCTTGACTGTACTTATGACTTCAAGTGTTTCTGCTCTTTTACTTTTCAGCAACTTCAAGGTTTCTATTTTTATATATAGGACTTTGATCCATTTAGATTTAATTTACTATATGGTAAGAGATATGGAATATATGCATGTGGAATACTAGTTTTCCCAACACCATTTATTAAAGAAGTTATCTTTTCTTCTATATGTGGTTTTGGCACTTTTAGCAAAAATCAAATTGCTGAATATGCATGGGATTGTTTGTGTGTATTTTCCTTCATTCCTTTGGTTTACATGTCTCTTTTTGTACCAGTATTATACTGTTCTTGTTACCATACTTTTATAGTATAACTTCAAATTCTAAATAGTGATGCTTTCTGCTTTGTACTTTTGCTCAACATTGGTTACTTCTGGATCTATATAAATTTTAGAATTGATTTTTCTAGTTTGTGAAGTTGTTGTTGGTATTTTAACAGGTATTAATAGGCTAACATTAGCAGGTATTAACAGGTATTTCATTAAATATATAGATGGGTTTTGGTAATGTGTGCATTTTAACCATATTAATTCTACCTATCCAGGAATGGTGGTTATCTTTCAATTTTCTAACATCCACTTCATTCTCTTCCTTCAGAGTTCTATAGTCTTTATTATAGAAGTCTTTCACCTCCTTGGTTACAAAGATTATGAGATATTTAATTTTTGAAGCTACCATGAATGAAATTGTTTTTTGTTTTTTTGGGTTTTTTGGGTTTTTTTTTTGGTACCGGGGATCGAACTCCGGTCCTTGAGCTTGCGCAGCAGGCGGCGAAACCACTGAGCTAAATCCCCAGCCCATGAATGAAATTGTTTTTCTGATTTCCTCCTCAGTTGATTCGTTATTGGTATACAGGAATGATATTTGTTTTTGTGAATTTATTTTTTATGCTACCTTTCTGTTGAAATTTTAAATAGCCTGAAGATTCTTCTAGTGATTTTGTTTGGTTCGTCTATGTAAAGGACCATATCTGAAAATAGAGATAATTCAAATTTTTCTTTTCCTATTCACTTCCTTTTTATTTCTTTCTCTTCCCTGATTGTTCTGGCTTAAATTTCTAGTATTCTATTGAACAGGAGTGGTGAGAGTGGAATCCTTGTTTTGTATCTGATTTTAGAGAGCATGCTTTCAGTTTTTCCAATTTAGAAGATGTTAATTTTAGGTTTGTCATCATGGGCCTTCCATGTTTTACTAGTATAATGCCATGTTGCTATCACTGCCTCTGTTAACATTTGGTTTAGCTGATAATTCCTTTAAAGCATTAATAAATAGTTAAAATACATTATAGGTTTTAGATTATTAAGAACAAAGTAATTAAACAAAAGAATTTTTAAAGGTTGTACTTTAAAACTTTATAACATATATATAAATATATATATATGAATTATACTTACTGTACTTCCCAACCAAAAGCAAATTCTAACCAGACAGCTAATGTTGGTTATTTAGCAACGTTCTTTTAAAAAGTACTTCCAGGAAAGTTATAAAAAGAAAGCCAGTAAGGACCTGAAAAAAGAAGTTGTTAAATATGCAATAAAATTTCATTATTATAAAAACCCCGGAATATGTATATCCACTATTGAATGCCATAAAAAGCATTTGGAAAACATGAACATGGATTTTTAAAAAAACCAGTTAAACCACTCTGTATTCTCATTCTTGTGAAAGGTATTTAGGAAATCGAAAAGAGACATTCATTTTGTGTTTAGCAAAAACTTGCTCTACAGTGTTATCAGATGAGTCCAATATCTTTTTTTTAATGATAGCTTTTCTCTGTCACTCACATATAAAATACCTGTGGTAATTGTCATGGTCTTTGATTCATTATCCATGGTATCTTCATGTATAGTTTTAATTTAATTTGGGAAGATTCGTTTCCATGATGCCAGTGGCTCAGGATTTTCAGGTTGCAATCTTGGTATCAAGCTCATAAATAGTGCCTCTTACTGCATTAAACAGGTACTCAGTATGTATCATTGTTGGGCTTAGCCTTTTCATCTTCTGTCATTCAGATTAACAGACAATAGAGTGGCTGGGAGGTCTCACTGATGAAATCTTTGCGCTTGATTTTTAATTCAGAATACGGTGGTAATAATAGTTCTTGGCTTAAGCACAATCCATTTAAAAAGTTCTGTAATTGCTAAATTATAATAATCATAATTATGTGAGTTGACTGCAAGGGAGGAGATCAGAAAATGCACTTTTCTGTTTTAAAAGGATTTTTATTTCATCCATTTCAAAGCATGCCTGCTTGAAGCAATATACAGCCAGTATTTCAATTATGTGAATTTTCAGAAGCTATCACTGCAATCACTTACTTGGAAATAATGAAGAACTTCCCATTCCATCGCAACCTGCTGTATGAGTGTATGTGTACCAGTCTTTCAGATCTACTGGTAATCAGAAGCAGTACTGCAGCAAATTCACCAATGGCTTGTAAAATAGATGGAAAGAGAAAGTATATTATTTCTTTTTATATGAATAATTGCTTATGTTTGTTAAGCTTATGCTCCATTTGGAGATTATCTCCCTTTGTGCAAAAACAACCCTCTACAGCTTAATCACATAAAAGATATTTGCACGTGATCTGTGATCTAACTTAACTAACAATGGCTTTTAACCTGGGAACACTTGTCCTACTAGTTTTTTCACCTATTGTAAGAAAACTGCCAAAAAAGAAGAAACAAACAAACAAACAAACCAAAAAGCCCAAACAGAAACAAAACAAAACAAAAAAAGGATTCTAAATGTTTCATCATTTTAACCTTTGGTAGTATCTTGGAAAATAGACATATACTTAAAATCATATTTTTATGCTAAAACTTTGAAAAGATTTTAGAGATCAACATTGAAAATGTTCAAGAAGTTATTCCTAAGTGGAAAGAGAATTTCCCAATTTCACATAGCAACAATGTTAAGCTTAGAGAGGGCTGAAGCCTGACTATGATGATGTAGGCTGAGAAAAAGGAGGTTCTCTCAAATACGTATTACGGAGTTCCTGTAACTATTACAAGTCAATTAGTTCACATATTTCAATGCTCTAGTCCATAATTATAAGCAGTGAGTATAACAAAAATATAAAGAGGTAAATTTTTTTATGAATTACAATAGCAATATTTGAAACACATTGGATTGAAACAAATCAGTTTTCGAAGCTTACCTGGTCTTCAGAGATTATTTTCATTTCTCTATTTTTCTAGATGTTTGAACTCAAGTTCAGAGTTGGTAGTGGGATTGCCAGTTGTTGGAAGTCTGGACAGTAACAGACACAAGAGAAGAAACAAAGTTCTTTTGTCCTATATGTTTTCTCAGAATGACCTAGGTAAAATTCCATGTCAGTCATCTAATATTTTGGAAAAACTCGACAATTTTTAAAATTCATATAGAACCAAGGTTTCCTCATTTTAAAGGATGGAAAATATAAGAAAGATTGATAAATTTTATTTTTATTATTTTTGATTCTGGGGTTTGAGCCCAGGACCTTCTGACACTACGTGCTCAGTCCAAGTATTATTAAATATATCAACATATTAGGTATAGACAGAAAATGAGTATATGTAACTATTAAACCTTGTTTGTATGAGTTTATTTAGGGGTGGTTAATTATTCTAGACTTTATTATCTACATATAAATGAGGAGGAGGAGGAGGAGAAGGAGAAGAAAAGAATCAAGTACTTCTTGGGCTTTGTGGATGAAGAGAATATATTTTTATATATTTTTCTTTCTCAAATCAGTATTTCAGGAGGCTCTATGAAATCATTTAATCATTTAGAAGAAAACTTCTAATTCAATTCTGCTCTGGTCTCTCATATTACCTTTGAGCAGAAAAACCTATCAAAGTGTATTATTTTCATTTACAAAGGACCTTAACGAATAGTGGGGAATGCTTATTTGAGACTAGAGTTGAATTAACATCAATTTCTAAGGTAGACATCTAAAGATCTGTCTTTCAAAGAAAGAAGCATGTGGATTTTGGAGCTGTGCTATTATATATAAAAAGCCACACAGCATTTTGTCAAGTGACTGAAACATATTCAAGGATAAGAGATGTACCCAACAAGAAATTTCTCAGGTGGTAAATGACTCACTAATTTTCAGAATACATTTGTCCGATATTAAATTTACTCTTCTTAAATACATTTACTACTTGCACAGAAACTAAAGTTGTACTCAATTTGATCCTTTATTTAACCAACAATCATTAACCAAACTTAAACTCCACAGAGTTGTGCTAACAAAAATCAAAGTAAACCTGCTAATGATATTTTCCATGCACTTTGCAATTTTGAGGCAAAAAGAAAGAATGATACCTAGGCATAGCAGTCTCGTCCCCTGTAATTTCAAAATCACTATCTAGAAAATGGTACAGAAGGCATCCAGGTGACTGGAAGCGAGCTGAAAGAGTGTTCTCCACTGCTGACCACTGCGGCCATAGACGAGTGACTTAATTGAGATGTTGCTCACAAAAGAACACTTTATCCCACATGGAATGCCTCTGGCTACTCTATAAGAGGCTGTCCCTTACTGATCTTCACTGTCTGAGTGGGAACAGTCATTCCACATATTCACTTAAAAACAAAATTACAAGCTTGAGGCCTCTGACAAAATAATAAAACACTAAACATTACTAGGCTCTGTTTATGGTAGCTTTTGTATCATCAAATTTAAAAGCAAGTGAGTTTATGCATGTTTCTGTGTGTAGCAAAATTTATATATGTGCAGTTTTATGTATACAAATAGACAATTCTCCCTCTCTATATATATTATATACATTATATATATTTAATATTTTTATGTATCAAAAATAATCCTTTGTTCTAATATCCAGGCTTAAATAACTCTCTGAATCTTTTGTTATAAACAAATAGGAAAACAGAATAAATCAAATGTTGACTCTTAAAAATCCCCTTCAAATTTCATTGGCTACAGTAAGCCAAATCTGGATCAATAGGGTATAAAACATAGCTAACGGCCTCTTCCTCAAGAAGTTATAATAAGGAAATGCCAAAAAAATAATACAACCAATCTCAAGCATTCACCAAAAGCATATAAGGCAGCAATAGATTTTTTTTTTAGGTTAAATATATTGAATCATGCAATTTGTATTCAAATCCCCTCAATGTAAAATTTGTAAATGTAATTTAATAGATTAAACAACAAAAATGTTAAGTGAAAGTACTTCTAGAAAGAAAACATACATATGGAAACAAATCAGGGTTGTAATAATGGTTATAAAATATTGCCAGGAATGGCAGGCCTTGACTATAATACCAGCACAACAGGAGGCTGAGGTAGGAGGATTGCCAGGAGTTCCAGCCCATCCTGTGTTATTTAGTAAGTTTAAGGCCACCCTGAATTACACACACCCAGAGAGAGTCTGTCTCAAACAAATAATCTCATAGCATACTGCTTAAATCTAAGATTTTAGGTAATGTTTAGTCCTTTCTAATTTCTTACTAGTTTTTAAAATTTTGGAAAAGATAATCGTATATACATATGACAATGGTTAACTATTGTTAACTCTAAATATATACTAATATCAAGTCCACCAAATTAGAAATGTTACAGTTGCTTTTAGTCCTACTAAGTTTAGAGCTATGACATAGATGGTTTCATGGTATAAAGTAGAGATAACTTGAAAAGTGGCAGAAGATGTTGTTGGACTCTCTGTACCACTTCTCAAAATTAAGAGCACAGTGTCCATGTCGACTACATAAGTGACATGCACAAACATCTTTCCTTATTTTCTGACAAGACAGTATGTAGTTACTTGTCTCATAATACACAATTCCATTCCAACTTCCATTTTTCATTCATTGATACAGATTGTACATCTCTGAGTATAAACGGGATTGAAGACTGGAGGGATAAAATTCTGAAAGAGATTATGTATTCTGAGAGTAGTGTATAATGAAGTAAAGTAATTTTATGTTGATGGCAGGAAGAAAATCCAAATTAGTCACTCTGCTTATATTCATTCATCAGCCAGAAAGTATGAAGCATTTTGTTAAGACCTAAAGAAAAAGTGAGGGAAAGGTATATATAGTTTCTTCACTCTTGCATATGTGGAGAATAAAAGCATGTTGTTAAAACTTAATAAGTAACCATTTGCTAGTGGCATGGAAGAAAATCTGGCATGGTGTGGTTTAAGCACAGAAATGAAAGATAGATGATAATTAGCTAAATGGAAGATGAAAGGGAACAGCAGTGTGAGGATCCAAAGTAGGTGGCATTGTGATTTACAAAATAAAACCGACAAAGACAAACATGGAGGTGGAAGGAAATGGAAATTAAATGTAGATGAGAATGCAGAGTAATCAAAACAATTCAATATACAATGGGCACTGTGAGCAGGGTGGGCATAGAGTGCTGCCACATACAACATAAGGAAATTAAGCAAGGGCTACATGGAAAATATGATGCACACATTGAGAAGTCAATGGGGAAAATAAGGGAGTGCGACGGAATGTTCAAAGTAATGTAACATTAAATGTCACGGGTTGTGTGAGAAATGGACTTCGGAGCGGTTTAACAGGAAGTGCTTTTAGCATTAATCCTGTTGAAAGAAAGAGACAGAAACAGGAAGGATCCAGTAAAGTGAAGCTGGGATGCAGCTGCAATGAGGGCTGTAGTGTATGAGCTCTAATGATACAATGACTCTTCAGAGTTGTCCCAAGTTGAGACAAGGAAGACAAGCTTTTATACCTACTCGACAGTGTGTAATTGAGTGCAGCCTGCTCCTCATCCTGCCTCCATGTGGATACAGCTTTGTGTGAGGCAATGTCCTTCCTGTACAATTCCCAAAGGGAGCTAACAGTTGAGATTTTCCTGTTGGTTGCAGACACAGAGGCTGGAGTCATAAGACCTTCATTCCTGAAATAAGATTTTGGGAGCACAGATCCACTGAACCCTGTTTGAAAGACTGGTAATGACTTTGAGATATTGAAAGAAGTCCCAGAAGAATGACAACTTGTAAACCCAAAGGGTAGAGTAAAGAATAAGACTACAAATTACATCAGAATCTAGATCAGGGAGGGCCTTTAAAGCCATTTTAGGATCACTGACTTTAAATTAGAGAGTAAAGAGAAGCTATTGAAGCTTCTAAGCACAGGGTGACATGGAGAGATTTGAACTGAAAGATCCCTATTTCAGCTTTGTGGAGAACAGATTGATGAAACTAGTAGTAAACTGTAACCAATGTAAGAAGGTATCTGGGTGAGACACATGGTGACCTGAAAGTAAAATGTAGGTGGGGAAATGGTACAGTTTCATAGGTGGGTCTGGAGTTGGTGGGTATTTTTATGGAGATTAAGATTTGGATGTTAAGTCAAGGAGATGGATGGGATTGTCTTGGGAACAAGTGGATATTTAAAAATGCAGATAAAAATCCTAGGGAAGAAACCCTAAATTATTCCAACATTTATTGGTCAGTGTGAGAAAAAGGGACTAGCAGTTAGAGAGAAATTCTATAAGTAGGAAGAATGTCTAAAGTGGAATTTAACTTACAGCAAGAATTGAGTCTTTCCAGAACTAAAGGTTGCTGTGCTGCTGAAAGATAAAATAATATAAGTACAAAAATGCATCTATTATGTGTGGTGAATATGATATAAATCTAGGGAAGTTAACTTTGTTTAGTTTTGCATCTTTTCTGATTTTCTCTGTGAAATAAGCACAGGCTAATTATATCAAGAAAGTGGAGAGAGATAGTAAACTTTGAAAAGATTAGCAAAGGTAGGAGACATTTTGGTGAAAGAAAATTGAAAAGAAAACATATCAAAAAGATAAATTACCTGTGCAGATCAGTAGTATAAATGTTAAGTTTCTGATGATAACATTATAAGATTAGTAAACTACTTACCTTATTTGTCTATTTATCCATTTTCTTGTTTGCAGTATCTACATGCATCCTCTGTGTATTTATAGGCAAAGAGAAAACACTGGTGTTTATCTGGGTAGATGCTAATAGAATAAAAGAACAAGAGGTTTTGATAAGATGGTAAAAAGATCAGATAATCAAAGTTGCATAGGAAAGAAATTAGGAAAGGGTATAATTACAATTTTTGTTGCAGAGACAGCTTCTAAACTGCAGATGTAAACAATTTGGAAAATAACGGCAGGATCTCAAATTGAACATGGCAGCCCAAATACACTTATTTGCCTTCATTCTCTTAGCGTTACCAGGAAAATGATAGTAACAAGAATTTTTATAGAAGTGCAAGTCTAGAAAGTCAAAGAGAACCTGAGGGA